TGGTCATAGAGCTCCGTCTCACTGCATGGAAAGTTCAACTGGTGTGCATGAAGGTCATTCACAAGCCTTCCAATGCTATTGCAACGTTTCAACAGGGTACCTGGCGCCTTATGATGAAGAATGTCAACCAGAATCTGACACTGTCCTCTGAAGTCAGGTTTGCTGTGCAACATCTGTATGAAACAATCATCACCTTTCCATGTCATTGCACTACTGTGCCACCGACGTATAGCCACCTCCCACATGCTGTCTCGTTGCTCCCTCCAAGACTGGACTGAACTCTTTGAAACCACGTCCATGTATGTCGCAACCTTCAATCTTTTACTTGGCATGCTTGAAACCTCTGTAGTATCATCCAATTGTGTTGCAACTGGTGGCTCGTCAACAACAGTAGGTCTGTGCAATGAGAGCTGTTTCACAACTGAGGTCTCGACATTAACGCTGTGGTCATCAAAAATTTCCGCCCAAAAACCGCTCTCCCAAAAGAACTCAACAGGTTTCTGTTCAAGTTGCATCCATGATTTGTCCAAAACCTGTGACCTATCATATGACTTTGAATCAACACGGGATTCAGCATCAAAACCATCCACGAAGCTAGGAGAGTAACCCTCTGAAGGTTCAGGTAAAAAACCATCTGTGTGATCATGCAGCATATCGGGTGTAAGGTCCAAGGCCGCTTCCAATGGACCAGAAAGATCCTGTTTGCCAACACCAGCGTCATCGCTCACAGGGGTGTCCCTCGACGGAGCTGAATATTGTTGTGCACCCACAACCAGCAACCATTGATCGCCAGAAGAGTTGTCCATAAAAGCAAACAAGTCTATACCCCCATTGCTGTCACCACACCACATCCAGAGCTGTGAGCGGAAAAAGGACTTCGACACTCAAATAATGAACTGTTGTGACATGTTCACACAGGTTTAAAAATTCAGGTTTGTTTCTTGGAAAACAAAACCCCAAGGTTGAAGGTTTGGTGTTCGCACCAAAGAGATTCAAAAAATTAAAAACAGAACAGACGTGTTTCCACAAACTGTTGTTTTTTCATGAACTGCGCATTTCACATTCTGCCCACTATGTTTTTGTTTAACAACAACATTTTTCCTTTGTCCAAATAAGGTTACGATCTTTGTTCCAAAGAGTAGCAACTTAAACGCATGCGTGGTGTACTTCAAAGGTGGTTGCATTGACATCTTTGCCGACTGTTGCACAAGTATCAACTGTAACCACTTGGCTGCCTCTGCCGTTGATAATGGCCTAACTGATGGAACGCCCCCTTCATCAGGCGCTGGCATGAGTGGGAAAATCTTCAGGTCCTCTATGTCCAGGTCCATTCGAGCTTTGTTCCAATGCACAGCCCATCCTTTTTCTGTGACCCCCAAACCAGGCGCTGTAAGCGGCAGGAAAGCATGACGCATGTTGAGAGCCCTGCATGTTTTATGGACAGCTGTAGAACACTCCACAAAGCAAATGTTACCACCTGAATCGCAGTCCCATTCCACAAACTGTGAATGTTGTGCATCACTCCAACGAGCCCTGCCATACACACAAAATAAAACCATGCCGCAGAAAACAACATTCCATGGGTCTGGGTCCGTCTCCAAAACTGCATGAATGCATTTCAAATGCTCCACAGTCAACGGTGGGGCTTGTTTGACAGTTTCCACCGTTTTTGAGCTGGCCGCTCCCATGCACCTTCTGCTCTTGACAGCAAAGTCCAAACTCTCACATCCAAAAACATGCCTTACAAAAGTAACTGCTTCCAACAAAGCTTTCAACCTGGATGAAGGGGCACCCTCACTCCGCTGACGACACAAGTGGTCATACAACTCAGACTCACTGCAAGGAAACTCCTGATTGTGTGCATGTAGGTCGTTCACCAGTCTTGACAAGCTGTTTGAACGTTTGAGCAAAGTAGCAGGTGACTTATGGTGAAGAATGTCAACCAGTATTTGACACTGCCCTCTGAAATCACTCTTGGACTGCAGCATCTTCACAAAACAGTCATCTCCCTTCCAGGTCATTGCACTGCTATGCCACCTACGGATTGCAACCTCCCACATGCTGTCTCTGTGTTCTTTCCATGACTGGACTGAACTCTTTGTAACCACGTCCAAATAAGAAGCTGCTTTAAAACGCTTTTGTGGCACATCTGAGGTCCCAACTGTTGCAGACGCATCGGATTCAACTATAGGTTCAGACACAACTGCAGGTCTATGCAACGAAAACTGACGCACCACCGTCGACGCTGCACTTTCACTGTCATTGTTACCAAAAATATCCGCCCAAAAACCCTGTTCCCAGAAGAAACTGACAGGCTTCTGTTCCAGCTGCATCCATGAACTGTCAAGAGATTGGTCCTTGTTGTAACCCTTCTGAACAACACCAGAAACGTCTTCAAATTGATCAGACATGCCAGGGGAGTAAACTTCTGATGGAATTGGCAAACGGCTATCCAAAAGAAAATTCTGTTCTAGGTCCAGAGCTCCACCGCTTTGACCAAAAGGGTCTGCATCGCCGCTACATGGTCCATCGCCCAAGGAAGGCGCCCGTGTGTCGTGCTCAATGTTGTCTGTATCCAAAGCAACACCCGACCCGCCAAACTGCGAAAGCTCCATGAACCTACTCCCCCATGCTGTTGTCACACCACGTTCAAGGCTGGTGAGCGGAAAGGACTTCGACATTCGAAGTTTATTCACCTGTACTACACTATACAAGATCAACAGGTTGGTAAAACTGTTTCATGTTTGTTTATTTCAGGCAGCAAGGTTTATGTTCTGTGTTTGACACAAACATCACCACATGAGAGGAAAAAACAAGCGACATCCACAAAGCGTAGTTTATTTAAAAATCAAAAAGTTTGCCCACTATGTTTTTGTTTGACAAAAACATTTTTCCTTTGGCCAAATAAGGTCACGATCTTTGTACCAAAGAGTAGTAACATCTTTTGATCATCATAGGGCAGTGGCAGCGGAACAAAGTAAACCAAGTAAACCAACAAACCATACTCCATAACCATCTTTCTGAGTAACCCATGACTTCTGAAAACTGAGTTCACAACTTCTGCAAAAGTGTTGTTTTGAAAACGTTTGTCGTTTGGAAACCTTGGTATTTGAAACTGTCTCACGTTTGTCCTCATCATCTCATCTAAATAAGGAACTGGTGCCACTGATCTTTCCTCTGGTCACGATCTTGGCTTCCAGACTTTTGGGTATTTGGGATAGACCCCCAAAAAGGGTACCAAGTGTCTACGCCTCTGGCCTGGAACCTTGGGAACCCTAATCCCCCAAAATAGGATCATCCAAACAAAACCCAACAGCAAACTGAAACAACGTTTCAACTCTGTTTTCCAAACGTTTGTAACTGGTTTCCAGTCACTTGGAACATTGGCTTCTAAACTTCACAGGCTCAAGAAATTTCTTGGAGGTGTTGTCTTCTGAACCCTTGGTGTTATCAGCCCAAACCTTTGGTAGCTGAGCGCTGAGCAATCCTTTTTCAAAAAGACAGCTGTGGGTCTCTGCCCCTAAGGTCTCAACGATAGTGGCATATCTGACAAAGGTGATACGTCTTGGACCCACGACCAATATAGTGACAACCTTGCCGATGAAATACTTTGGCATGTTGACCCAGATGAAACTCCAAGTCACCCCATTCTGTTTGAGAGGCTGCTTGTCTCCTAAGCAGACTGGTTGGAGCAGGACTCTCTTCGGTGTTGATGCCCTTCTCAACGCCCTGAACTGTCGTGGTTTTCAGGCGCTTGACTTCTGCATAGACCAGGTGAAGCATGACCAAACACCATACCAGGAATCCAGCCCACAACACAAAGAGGAACTCAAGCATCCACATGGCACGCACACGCACGAGGAAAACAAAGGTTGCACACAACTTGGACCAAAAGCTCAAGACAAACCAATTCAAGAGAAGTCCAAGTCAAGTTCAAGTTCAAGACAACCCCAAGACCAAGTTCCAAGAACATGCAACAAACACACAACATGTTATGATCCTCAGCTGCAGGGGTGTCTCATATGGCAGTGCCATCTTCCTTTGACCCATTGGCAGCTACATCATTGGATCATCTTCATACCTTAGTTCAAGAGAACTACAAGACATGCAAGACACTCACAAAACGTTCAAGACAAGCACAAAAACAGAGCAGTGCAAACTGTCGACAAGTTGATCTGCACAACCGTGACAACTGGCAAACTGTTGCAGCAGAGTCCAATGAGTCCACATGTGTCCAACTGCATGCAAGTGCAGTCAACTAGTTACAAGTTCAAACAGTTGACATCAACTCCAAAACAATGAAAATGAACATCAAATGAACTGACATCAAAAGAAGTTAAGATTCCAAAAGTTTTCAACTGTCAAGTGAACTGCAAAACATCCTAACAGCTTCTGCAGTACAGCTGAACAGCTTCTGAAAACTGGATAACCCTGGCTCCCTGACAACTGTTTCCCTACACAGCTTGAGTTCCTAGATGGCTTCTGTTGTTGGACGGCTTCTGCAAACCCTTGCAATGCAAAACGTTCACAGCAAGACTGCAAAATGACATGAATGCTACTGACTACAGTGACATCCACTCCACAACAACTGCAAGCTGAGAAGTTGATGCAAGGCTTTGCAGACCTTTTTGAAACTCTCGGCAACTCTCGCTGGTGACACAGATTCAACTAGCCCGCCGAATGAACCTCGAGGCAGCTAAATATGAAACATCTACAACTGCCTATTCTTTCTGCCAGCCCTCTCACATCAGGTCTTTCCAACTTCAGTCCAACACACACAAAGTTGACCCTTCCAGATCGATGGCAGCAGGTGGTATCTTGCCCGTTCAAGCTGGGTTCTCATGGCAAAAATTGCTGTGGAAGTCTCCTGTGGAGACATCCATTAACTTCTAACCCAAGCTCCGAAGAATATCTCTGATCCAACCTCTCGCGCGGCAGGTAGCCAGTTGGACTCACTGGGATGTCCATGGTATGCCCTGCTTGGTCACGTACAATCACCCTCAAAGCTGCTGGCTGCAGGTGCCCGCATTCCAGGCATGCCACCGCGACCCATAGTCTGGTGCATCGCTCCCGGTGCAACATACCCAGGCTGGCCATACGCTGCTGTCGGAGGATTTCCCTGAAGGGGCACTGCACTTCCCAGTGTTGGGGTCATAGGAGTTGATGTCATTCACGGCACTCCCACACGGATTGCTGGGCAAACCAGAGATTGCAGCTGTCAACTCCTTGAAGGCATTCATCAGGGAGGTGTGTTGCTCCTTCGTTTCTGATTGAATTGACTTTAAGGTCGAGAGCATGTTGACAAGGTTTGATAGCATTTTATTCCCAACAGGCTTGATGGCAACATTTGTCTCGGATCTCGGCCCCGTAAGCTGCCACTCTATCTGTTCAAGGTTCGCCTTGAGACCTTGAATTTGTGCCATGCTGTACTTGGCAGAGACTTTGTCGGAAGAGTATTCCGCGGCGAATGTCGCCAGGTCCTTTTGGGTTTGCTCTTGTACCTGATCTTGGTCGCGCACACAGGCAAGGGCCTTGTTGGTCAAGTCGAAACCAGCCTGTACTTTCTCCAGCAAAGGCGGACTTGCTTGAAGAATCTCCACCTCCTTCTTAGTCACTCTGAATCTTTTTGATGCTCTCTGGGTCATCGGGGATTTCTTCAAGCCCCCGCTTCACAGATGGTTCACCTCCTGTTCGGGAGGTGGACGGCCCTCTGGTACTCCCATCAAATTCTCACTGACAGTCCCTTGGGGCGCGTTCAATTCGGCTTCAGCTCCTGCGGCAACTGACAGCTCCTTGCTCTCCGTGACACTGCCCATACCGGAGAAAGGTGCTAAAAGGGCTTTTCCGTGAGCGATCTGCTTGATCAGACCAGAGACAAACAACATGCAGCATTACTTACACGGCTTATGCTCCTAAACGGCTTCTGCATCAACATTGACCCAAAACTGATCCAAAACCAAAACCACACAACAAAGCGGTTGTTTGGAAAAACTTGTGTTTCACTGGTTTTCGTTTCCTAGCGTTTCGTGGTACAAACATGCAAACGGAAAACTCACATCCACTGCAACCTTAGTGTCAACATGTAGCGCTCCATGTGCACTAACATAATTTCAGTCAGACAGCGAAAAGTCCTAAACGAGTTCACATACTGATCAACATCGTCCAACAATGTCCACCAGTCGCACATGACAAAGACTGACCAAAGACCCAACACGGAAAAGGACAGGACACCGTCACGGAAAACAGAAAAACTCCAGCAAACCATCCAGACGGGACAACAGAAGCACTCAAGGTCCACATCCGCTGATGCGCAACAAAAGAACAGTTCAACGGTGACAAACTGTAGGAAGGGACAAAGACCTTCAGAAGGAGCAAACTGGATTCCAGGCGGTCACCTGCGATTCCAACGTCTATCGAATTCAAAACCTTAGCAAAATGCCGTTGAGTCACAAGCGAAAAACAAAAGTTCCTTAGCAAAATGCCTCAGTGGAACAGCTTGTGTCATGCAAAATCTCGAAAATTCAAAATTCGCTCAGCTCGCTGCTTGCCAATCGGCCACACATCAGGTTCTCCCCTTCTTCGGATTGCAATCTGTTTAAAAAGGTTCGCAGCCAGGACTAGCTGTTGGTGTCGGGTCCCTGCACTAACCCCACCTCTCTCAAGGTTTATCAGCATATCCCTAGTTTTGAATGACTTAGTCCATCCGTCGCTAAGGTTTTGAAGCCCGGGGATGTGCTCCAAAAGGAGACGTCGTTTCTTCACCAACATTTGAATATACTTAGCACGAAGTTCTATGTGCCGGACGCGTCGCAACAACCGGTCCATCGAGCTCATGCTGATCGCCGCTGTCGCGTCGTTGCGCAAAACCAATTGGCAAGTCCCAGTTGCACACTGTGGGGTTCCCAAAATGGTCAGCGGAATCCCACCACAACCATCGATGCCTCGTCACTCTTTCGGCTCGACGTTTGCATGAGGTGAGGGTCGCCTTGTTCGCAAGAAACATGTTACGCTGTCCTTGCTATTGCCCGGGCAGCCTTATGGCATCATTTGCACCTTCCAAGGGCCAGCTTGTTGGCCACAGAGCATGCCGCCCATGCGGTTGACAAACCACGCTTCCCAAGGGACCTCTGCCAGCATGGACAAGAACTCATGTCCACACGGTTTCTGTTTTGCTTGAACTTGTCTGGGCGCCCAGGCTTGTAACATTAGACCTTTGGCTCAACGCAGCTGACAACTCAAGGTATGCGAGTTGAAGTGTTCGAGCTCCACCTTGGTATGTGCATCTTAAAGGCATGAAAGCATATTTTGTACATCTGACGTTCACGCCGCAATGATGCAAGTGCTTGCTGTGCTTTTGCTCTGCCTGTGCATTGTTTCACATGCGCCTGGCTAAACCATGCGCTTGTTGTGAAATCGCGCCCTGCTTCCTATGTTTGGACTTGTGCCGTTGTTCAGTTCGGTCGATGTTGCTGATTACTGGCCCACCAGCCTCGTAGAACCCACCCGGAGACTTGACAAGTTACCCAAAACATCATGGGCTGGATTCGCTTGTCTTAATCCGTGATTGAGAACTACTGTATATTCCATGTGCAGCTTTTCCTGGCACCCAAGCACAAAAATGAAAGGCAGAACCCCGAAGCTTTGCAAGCCTTTTGCATGATTTCCTTCAGTTCTCTCTTCATGTTTGCTGCTTTTCCAAACCAGATCGATACATAGAATTCAGAACGCAAAATGTGTTCCTTGTCTTTTGTGCGTGCAATTCAAAATTATCTGATTGCTGCATGTCATCTGTCTAGCCTTCGCTCAATTGCAAGTCATTCTGGCCATCATGTCTGCACAATCGCGTGTAGCCCGCAATCTTTGTGAAAGATACCGCACATAGCACTGGAACAGCAGTTTGAAACACAATGTGTTATAATCCAAGCGCCGGCCAAAAGTGGGTTATACAGTTATACGTGAAAGCAGCAGAATCGTTCGGTTTGAAGGCACTTCTCAATGTTCTTCCAGCAAATGAAAGAATCATGTTTTCAAGTCCTTGCTTGCAGGCTGCATACTAGACTGAAACAACAGCAAGAGCACAATTCAATAGTCCCACAGCAACACATGATTTGATGCGCGCAACAGCTGACAAGCTGCCACTCTGACGGACCACAGATTGCGTCTTAGCCTGCAAACTGCAAAAGATCCTGTTTAGTGGGTCCTGCGATTTCCTTGCAAGAAATGACGACTGCAAGTTTAAGCTCATTTCCAAGGTGACATATGCACATGATCAAGTGCCCAGTGGCACTGCCGTGCCTGCGACTGCAGAGGAGGCCCGCACATGCGAAGCCTGATTTCAATTGACTTTCCGGCCCCAGAAATGGAACCTGAAAGCGCACATGTGGTATCAGCTGTCTCCGTTCCCTTGCTCCAATGCGGCGATTGCAATGCAGCACCACCCAGGCAACATTCACCAATCCGTCGCTACTCCGCGCTACTCCGCTACTCCGTGGAATGTTTTAATTCAATTACCCAATGTAATTGACACGATATCGAAACGATGGCGGAGTAAGAGAGCCTTCAATACTTCACCTTCCCACATCTTTCCCTAAGCAGATTCTTACTCCATCCCGTTTTAAATTAATACTATTAATTAATAACGGGATTGACTGAAAAGATCATAATTCATGTTCTTTCTGGGCTGCAAACTTCGGTAGGAGTCTAGAGGGGCAAGGGGGGGCCAACAAGGGGCAGTAAAGTTTTCAATACAATCATTCAAATGTAAGCCGGCCACCTTCGCGAAAACCCACAAACTCCGCAACAGCAAGAAACACTTCAAGCAATTACCTAAGGCTGCAAAAGGCTGATGCGCCTTCTTTTAGCAGCAAACAATCAAGCCACCAGACGAAACGAAATAATAAAAAGCTACCTTCAACTGGGTTCAAGCAGCAACCGATATGCACCCCGCTTGCCCCCACAAGAAACAAAATCATCTACACAGCTTCCTCCGACGGACCCAATTCTGGGTGCGGAAAACCTTCTCAAAACCGGCTTCGCTCAAAAAAGGGCCTCCCTAGTTTCCCTTCCGGTCGCCATAAGCCACAAAGCTTCATTGAAACCAAAACGTTGCGATACAACAAACTTCAAAAAATGCAACCGGTCCCAAAAATGACCGTCCCATTTTTGGGACCGCACCGCTTAGTAAAAGAACAAAAGAAAAGCACTTTCACGGTCCCATTTTTGGGACCGTCTGGCGGTACCAAAAATGAGACCGAAAATAATGCAATGAACAAAAAATGACAACTGCGTTTAGTTAAGCAACAAGCATATAGAGTTGGAACAGAGGAGGCCCGCACATGCGAAGCCTGATTTCAATTTTCAAATGGAACCTGAAAGCGCACATGTGGTATCAGCTGTCTCCGTTCCCTAGCTCCAATGCGGCGATTGCAATGCAGCACCACACAGGCAACATTCACCAATCCGTCGCTACTCCGCGCTACTCCGCTACTCCGTGGTATGTTTTAATTCAATTACCCAATGTAATTGACACGATATCGAAACGATAACGGAGTAAGAGAGCCTTCAATACTTCACCTTCCCACATCTTTCCCTAAGCAGATTCTTACTCCATCACGTTTTAAATTAATACTATTAATTAATAACGGGATTGACTGAAAAGATCATAATTCATGTTCTTTCTGGGCTGAAAACTTTGGTAGGAGTCTAGAGGGGCAAGGGGGGCCAACAAGGGGCAGTAAAGCATTCAATACAATCATTGAAATGGAAGCCGGCCACCTGCGCGAAAACCCACAAACTCCGCAACAGCAAGAAACACTTCAAGCAATCACCTAAAGGCTGCAAAAGGCTGATGCGCCTTCTTTTAGCAGCAAACAATCAAGCCACCAGACGAAACGAAATAATAAAAAGCTACATTCAACTGGGTTCAAGCAGCAATCGATATGCACCCTGCTTGCCCCAACAAGAAACCAAATCATCTACAAAACAGCTTCCTCCGACGGACCCAATTCTGGGTCCGGAAAACCTTCTCAAAACCGGCTTCGCTCAAAAGGGCCTCCCTAGTTGCCCTTCCGGTCGCCACAAGCCATAAAGCTTCATTGAAACCAAAACGTTGCGCTTCTGCAACCTTGACCGCATGCACCGCTTAGTAAAAGAACAAAAGAAAAGCACTTTCACGGTCCCATTTTTGGGACCGTCTGGCGGTACCAAAAATGAGACCGCAAAATAATCGCATTTTGGGGCGAGCCAAACTCAAACCCCATTGGGTTTACCCACCAAATCCCAAACATAAAAGGTCCATTGACACCAGGCCATAACACAGTATGGCTTATGGGGGGATATACAGTTTGGGTTATACAAATAATTATATATACCAAGTGTATATATAACATGTATTAAAACGGCAAACGACCAAAAACCCAAAACTTAAAACATCACGACGAAAATCACAGCTCGCTACAAACATGAGTCACATCGACATCACTGTCTGAATGAGATCGCATCTTTTTCACGTGGGGTGCAAAACAAATCATATGTCAAGCATGGTCACATGCCAACTGCATCGCAGACCCATGAGCGATCTGCAAATCCAAATGATTCGTCAGAATCCAGAAGACCTTGATGGTCACATTGTCACACAAAATTTGATGTCTCATCTCCCCCCGCAGGGTTTTAAAAAAAAAGGTCAAGTACCAGCAGAAGGCAGTGATCCAGAAGGTGGCGCGTCCGCAGGATCTTGTGGGGCTGGATTTTCGGCTGGAATTGCATCGTGGAGGTCAAAGAGGTCGCACGCAGTCTGAAAGACAAGAACAGCATCTGTGATGATGCTGAATGGCTCGCGATGTAATTCAGTGTCGAAAAAGTCCGTAATCCAGTCCCTCAGAATCAC